AAGAGTCTTTTCCTGTTATTTAGTTTTGTAGATTGTTGGAAGTTATTAACACAAGCCTTTCTGCTAGTTATCAACCAAACGTCATGTCAGTTCTCAAAGCACTAAGTTTAAAACCCACTTTCTAAGTGCAACACCTCTACTTTACGAACAGTATGAATGCAGCATCACATTAACAGGCAAGATGTATTTAAGGTCTCTTGCTTCCAAAAAACCTTAATTAAATTGAATGGCTGAATCCTACCTGCTCCCTACTGGTTCAAATGCTTTGCTTCCGATAACACTGGCTTCTACGAGTATGGACACACATACCTTGGGAGCCGCTTCAAAAGGTGAAGGGGAACTTTTGCTTGTTCTAACAGGTACTTGTGAATAAGCCTGGAGCAATACAACACTACCACTTTTACACCCAGGGTTAAGTTGGATCAGCTTTACTTCACTTGTATCACTATGGGCTTGTCCACAGGTAACTGGTAGGACCTAACAGCTGCTGTGCCCTCCAAATAAGCATTCTAAACAACTCCAAATGTACATGTGTCCATACTATGTAAAAAGGTTCTTTTCCTAATCATACTTCCACTAGAACCCTTTGGATCATATCTGGGAAGAAACAGTGCCACTTCTTTAAAAAGTAAATTAAAATCCAACCCAGCTCTCAATTTAAACTCATTCCATGCATTCACAATCAGATAAATGCTAGATAGAGAAAACAGTCATCCCCAGTTATCAACAGGGACACTCAAACTTCACTAATCCCAGACAGCAGTGGCAAGTAGCCAAGAAAATGAAGGTCACTTTAATAACATCAGTGTAGCTACAATTTAATAATCTTTAAGGAGATGATAATATGTAGAGATTAAGGGCCAGATCCTGCTCCAGTAAGTGCATAAAAAGACTTGCTCAAGTTTGTGAAAAACTGTTAACACATCAAGTGGATGGATCCTCCTCCTACTTGTTGTGTTTTGTGACTTAGTCTTAAGACAAAGATCAAAGCAGGTTACAAAAAAAAAGATGCATTAATGGATTTTCAGGAACTCAAGGTGAAATGAGATTGCACTTAGGTGTCAAACCGGTGTAGCAGGACCCAACCCTACACGTCCCAGAAGATGATGCTCCATCAGACCAAGAACATTAAGGGCAAAGTGAATCATTTAACCAAACTTAGAGAAAGGCATTTATACAGAAGTAGAGAATACCATGCTGGAGCTAATGCTAATTTGAGTTCCATGAGAATTTTCATTTCAAGTGACCAGGACTTGTGTTCTAATAACATTTGGCAGCACATAAGACTTTAGTAATTTCCCCAAGCTTTTGCTGTGGGTGTTTCTTTTGGGGTGGGAACTTTCCCCTTCTAAGTCATGGGATTCTCTACTGTTACCCAAGTCAATGTTATATATAAACAAAAATAGAAAAGCTGCAAGAGATGTACCTGTGCAAAAGGGAATACAAAAATGGTAGAGCTCTGGTTCAGTCCTAACCCCAAATAAAGAAAACCACTCACTGTAGTGAATGACTCCATTTTTAAGAAGTGTCTCATCCTTCCTGACCAAAATTAGCCCTTCACTTGTGACAAGTGACAAAAAAAAAGTCACAACTTGAGCCATTTGGACTGTAATGCATGAACATCAGAAGTTCACAATACCTTTATGGCCTCAATGGCATATTCCACCTGGAACAATCTCCCCTCCGGTGAAAAGGTGTTCACACCCCTGCAATGAACCAAAAGTCAGAAATGAAAAAGAGGCAAAACACACACACCAAACAAACAAACAAACAGCCCCAAAGCAAGCCTTGTACATAGGCATAAGAAAATGTAATTCTGGTTCAACACTATTTGTTTCCTCATCTTTGTTAAGTAATGTCACCAGGTAACACAGAAGAAATGTGATTCAGAAGGACAAAGAAAAAAAATACCCTGAAACTCTTGTAGACCTACTACAAATCTAGGAGTGACCCTTCATAAGTAGACACTGGAAAAATAAACTTTCATTGACTTATTTAGAGAAACAATGCATGTTACCACTGACTTAAGAAGGTTATTGTCTTGCTAATATTTAGCCCAATTTCTTCTTCAGTTTGACAAATGCCACCATCACCTTCCTTTTACATTAGTTCCAATTCCCTTCATCCATGCCACGCAAGAAGGGAGGTAACAATTCTATCTTTGTACCACTGAAGGCTAAACAGCAGCTTGATCCCTCTAGCTGTCTGGTACCATTCTTGGATATACTGGACATCAAATCACCTTGGGGCAGCTGGCAATATTGAGGTCACTAAGCTAATTTCGGCCAATTAAAAAAACAAAGTGAAATGAAAGCTCAGGCAAATACCTCAATAACATGTAGTATCTTGTGATAAGACTGGAAGATTTCTTCCTTACCTTGGGAGATGTTAAGATATACTACATTTTATAAAATGATATATTCAGTACAGCATGGGCCAAGAAGTCAATAAACTGCATGAAATCAGTGCCCCTGTTGACACACTACTATTGATACCAAGAACTTAAAGCATCATTGGCATATACAAGAAATTCATTCCATTTCACTGAACTACCACTTGCTACAAAAATCTTGGACTCCTTGGCAATATTACACGTACATCCTTCCTTTCCAAAGTGAATAAAGTTAAGCAAGCTTCTGAATGCAAAACATTCCTTCTCAGGTCACCAAGGAAGAGTGTCTTACATTCAAAAACTTGTCTAACTTTATCCCAACAACATAGTTGATCCAGTAAAAGATATTGCTCTAAGAAATTGTAGTCTCTTGCTTAATTTCTGGACCATCGTGGCTATAACATCACTTCTACACCACCATTCCAAAAATACCAGTTCCTTTTGAGGAGCATAGGGTTGTCAAAAGAAGCAATAGTACACCACACTGCAGCAAGAACTAATGAAACTGATTGGGAGCAGTGCCAAGTTAATGAGAAAAGGAAAAAGAGAACACATGCTCCTGGCCAAGCCTCTAGAGATGGAAGCTATATAGGAGTGGGCAATTATTTTGGCAGGAGGTCCACTTAGGGAGATTTAGTGAACTATTGCAGGCTGGGTCAGCTCCCCACATGCCTGTGCCTGCAGCAGATCACAGCTTTGCCCCTGGGCTCATGCTATTACTGCCTTGTGATCCTGATCCCTGGCCCCGCCTGCCCGTCCTGTTCCCAGCTGCGGCTCCCTACCCACAGTCCCATCCGCCCATCTGCATGCCCTGCCCAAGTGAGTCCTGTCCCAGCAATGGGCACAGGATAGATAGGCTGGGGTGCCCGGGCAGTGGGGCCAGGGCCAACAGCAGGAAGAAGCCACCACTAGGGCTGCTGGGAAACAGTCTGTCCACTGTGCTGTCCCAGTCCCACTGTGCACCTGGCGGCAGTGGGACCGGACACATGCACCACAACCCAGACTGCCCCACATGCCTGGGCAGAGGGAGTCAAGGGACCCACTATGGGCCAGAAAAAATGTCTTGGTGCACTGGATCCAGTCCGCAGGTGGTATTTTTCTCCACTCCTGTTATATAGTCTTGTTGCTACTGCCCAAAAGCCAGAGCTAGAAGTGCTCAGTATTGTGCGTCTGCATTGCCTTGCTCCAGATAAACACTTTGCAGGCAAATTTGCATCAGAAATTGCTCTTGAAGAGCCCTTCAACTAGCCCCATGAGTAAGACTTCCATGTGGGGATATGTAAATGGAAGCAGATGCTACCTACCAGTTAACAGACACTCACAAGAGAGGAATGGTCACCTTGTTTCCAATGAAAAGACAGCAAAAGGCTACAAAGGTATTTCATGGGCCACTAAGTCAACAAAAAAGCAGTACAGGAACCCCCACTTAGTGCTCTTAATTGGTTCCTGAAAAACTGAACCTTAAGTGAAATGAGCATTAAGTGAAATCAAAACTATTTGATGATCCAAGATAGCAACCACAAGTGTTTTTAACAACTCATGATGGTGACCGCAAGCGATATAACACAACTCGCTGAGCGCTAAGTGAAACCAGCTTTCAATTTAAAATAAGCATTAGAGCGAAATAGCATTACACAACATGGAGTTAAATGGGGGTTGCCTGTAACTAGCTATATTTTGAAGTTACCCCCTTCAGGCTGGCAGAGAGATGGAAGCGGAGTTGAAGCCTCCCTGCACCACAGAAAGCTATTTTGTCCATAATACTGTAGCAGCATACCACCTGCAAGTTGCATCATTACCTTACATTAGGGAAAACAAGTCATAAATACGTTTGAGGTTGCTTAGATTTTTTGCTTAAACTACTGACCATAAGCAACTCCACAGTTTTCCTTCTACCAGATGAGCACATCCCTCCTTTGACTCCCGCCTGCCCCATCCCAACTTGAAAATGAACTGCCTGATGCAACCTTTTTCGACTCTTTTTACCTAGCTCCTGGCTTTTTTGCTTTTTTTTTTTTTAAACGTGATATGTAATCTAGCAAGGCAGCACTCGTGCCAAGAATGCCTTTCGTTTTGATCTTAAACTGAACGAAACAGAGAGGCTGAGAGCCATGGGGCTCTTTTGCCTGGAAAAGCGTGGGCTCAGGGGTGATCTGGTGGCCACCTATAAGTTTATCAGAGGTGCTCACCAGGATCTGGAGGGACGTCTGTTCACCAGAGCACCCCAAGGGAGGGCAGGATCAAATGGTCACAAACTCCTCCGCGACCGATTTAGGCTGGACATAGGGGCTCGGACAGTAAAGAAGTTCTTCCTTCAGGTTTGGAATAGCCTGCCACTGGAGGTGGTTCAAGCACCCACTGATCCCTGTTGACTTCCTGCCCCTGGGGCAGGGGGCTGGACTCGATGATCCTCCAGGGTCCCTTCCAGCCTGAATATCTATGAAATCTATGAAAGCAGTCCCAGGCCCCCAGCCCATTAAAAAACTTCTAGTTTTACAAGTCAAATAGATATTACGTATGCATGGACACACACATGTACACATACATGCATACACACGGGTGTTGTATGTAATGATGCAGCCCCCTTTTGAAAATCCTTGATCCACAGACGTTCAGGGCTGGGAGGGGAGTCGTGAGCTCACCGGGCGCAGCCCCGGGGCAGCTCTGGGCAGGGACCACCGCGGGGGTCAAGTAACCCCAGCGAGGTGCGCGTCCAGATCTGCCGACCGCTACGTTATAGTATGTACCGAGTATACCTGCATCATCGCCGAGCCGGACTGCCACAGCAGCCTGCGATCTGGCCGTCTCACGTGGGACGCCGTGGCCATGTCGGGCACTAAGATGTGTGGCCAGAAAGGCCCACGCTGGCCCTCACTGCACCGCCACCAGCACTGAGGGTGCAGACACGTGGGAGTTTTCCGTGGTTTTTAATCGTGTCATTAATGACCACCCATGCCACCCTCTTCAGGCCGCCCCCCGCCCTCCGCCTGCAAAGCGAAAGCAAAAGACGCAAAACGAAGAGTCACGCTGTGACTCACCGGCCCGGCCCGGCAGCGGGGATGGGGCTCCCCACGCG